GGAAACACAAAAAAAGGTAAAAATAGAAATTTTGAAATTTCACTTTTGTTTGATTGCCACTCACCTGTTCAACCTAGTATCTGAGATTGATGCTCTCTAATTAACGTGCACTGTGCGGCTACATGAATCAAAATAGTTTGCTATCTTAGATCACCCCATGTAGGGCGCTACTGGACGCAAAAGGGCGACACTTCCAAAGTGTTTTTGCTGAATTGCCACGCCCCTAGTGGGTGGTAGGCGGCGATTATGAATGCAAATGGAAGCCTGAGTGTCCTCTAAACGATGCAATTTGTTTCGACCCACCTAGCTTATATATCTCCGGCCCGCTAGAGGTCGCAGAAAAGGTGGAAAACACCTGTGTGCAGGGCAAATTGATAATGGTCATTTATAAAGGATTCCCACGCTCCTGGTGGGGTAGGCGGGTTGGTGTGATGATGATAATGGAAGCCCAGAGTGTCCTTAGGTGATCCACTGGTTTCATCCCCCTCATATACGCCGCTTAACTGGAAACAAAAAAGGTAAAAATAGAAATTTTGAAATTTTTCACTTTTTTGTTGATTGCCACTCACTCTGTTCAACCTATATCTGGATTGATGTCTTAATTAAGTGCACCTGTGCGGCTACATGAATCAAATAGTTTGCGCTATCTTAGATCACCCTGTTTAGCGCTAATGGACGCAAAAGGGTGACACGTTAATTCGCAAAGTGTTTTTGGCTGAATTGCCACCGCCTAGTGGTGGTAAGGCGGGTGATTGATGATGCAAATGAAGCCCTGAGTGTCTCTAACGATGCAATTTGTTTGACCCACCTAGCTTATATACACGCCGCTAGAGGTCGCAGAAAGGTGGAAAACACCTGTGTGCAAGGGCAAAATGACCATGCGCATTCTATAGGATTCCCACGCCCTGGTGGTGGTAGGCGGCGGTTGATGATGATAATGGAAGCCCAGAGTGTCCTCTAGGTGATCCACTTGGTTTCATCCCCCTCTCATATACCACCTTAACTGGAACACAAAAAGGTAAAATAGAAATTTTGAAATTTTCACTTTTTGTTGATTGCACCACCTGTTTCAACCTATTCTGAGCATGATGTCTCTAATTAAACGCACCTGTGCGGCTACATGAATCAAATAGTTGCGCATCTTAGATCACCCTGTTTAAGGCGCCTAAGACGCAAAGGGTGACACGTTAAATTCCAGTGTTTTTTTGGTGAATTGCCACGCCTTAGTGGTGGTAGGCGGGTGATTGATGATGCATGAAGCCCTGAGTGTCCTCTAAACGATGCAATTTTGTTTGACCCACCTAGCTTATATACTCCGGCCCTAGAGGTCGCAGAAAGGTGGAAAACACCTGTGTGCAGGCAAAATGACTCATGGTGCATTCTATAGATCTCCACGCTCCTGGTGGTGGTAGGCGGTGTTGATGATGTATGGAAGCCCAGAGTGTCCTCTAGTGATCCACTTGGTTTCATCCCCTCTCATATACCCCTTAACTGGAAACACAAAAGGTAAAAATAGAAATTTTGAAATTTTCACTTTTTGTTGATTGCCACTCACCTGTTCAACCTATATCTGAGATTGATGTTCTAATTAATGCACCGTGGCAGTACATGAATCAAATGTTTGCATCTTAGATCACCCTGTTTAGGCGCAATGACGCAAAAGGGTGACACGTTAAATTCCCAGTGTTTTTGGTGAATTGCCACGCCCCTAGTGGTGGTAGGGGGTGATTGATGATGCAAATGGAAGCCCTGAGTGTCCTCTAAACGATGCACATTGTTACCCACCTAGCTTATATATACTCCGGCCGCTAGAGGTCGCAGAAAGGTGGAAAACACCTGTGTGCAGGGCATAAATGACTATGTGATTCTATAGGATTCCACGCTCTGGTGGTGGTAGGCGGGTGGTTGATGATGATAATGGAAGCCCAGAGGTCCTCTAGTGATCCACTTGGTTTCATCCCCTCTCATATACCCCTTAACTGGAAACACAAAAAGGTAAAATAGAAATTTTGAATTTTCACTTTTTGTTGATTGCCACTCACCTGTTCAACCATATCTGAGATTGGATGTCTCTAATTAACGTGCACCTGTGCGGCTACATGAATCAAATAGTTTGCGCATCTAGATCACCCTGTTTAGGCGCTAATGGACGCAAAGGGTGACACGTTAAATTCCAAAGTGTTTTGGTGAATTGCCACGCCCCTAGCGGTGGTAGGCGGGTGATTGATGATGCAAATGGAAGCCCTGAGTGTCCTCTAAACGATGCAATTTGTTTGACCCACCTAGCTTATATACCCGGCCGCTAGAGGTCGCAGAAAGGTGAAAACACCTGTGTGCAGGGCAAAATGACTCATGGTGCATTCATAGGATTCCCACGCCTCCTGGTGGTGGTAGGCGGGGTGGTTGATGGATGATAATGGAAGCCCAGAGTGTCCTCTAGGTGATCCACTTGGTTTCATCCCTCATATACCCCTTAACTGGAAACACAAAAAAGGTAAAATAGAAATTTTGAAATTTCACTTTTGTTGATTGCCACTCACCTGTTCAACCTATATCTGAGATTGATGTCTCTAATTAACGTGCACCTGTGCGGCTACATGAATCAAATAGTTTGCGCCATCTTAGATCACCCTGTTTAGGGCGCAATGGACGCAAAAGGTGACACGTTAAATTCCAAAGTGTTTTTGGTGGAATTGCACGCCCCTAGTGGTGTAGGCGGGTGATTGATGATGCAAATGGAAGCCCTGAGTGTCCTCTAAACGATGCAATTTGTTTGACCCACCAGCTTATATACTCCGGCGCTAGAGGTCGCAGAAAGGTGGAAAACACCTGTGCAGGGCAAAATGACTCATGGTGCATTCTATAGGATTCTCCACGCCCTGGTGGTGGTAGGCGGGTGGTTGATGATGATAATGGAAGCCCAGAGTGTCCTCTAGGTGATCCACTTGGTTTCATCCCCTCTCATATACCCCTTAACTGGAAACACAAAAAGGTAAAAATAGAAATTTTGAAATTTCAACTTTTTGGTTGATTGCCACTCACCTGTTCAACCTATATCTGAGATTGATGTCTCTAATACGTGCACCTGTGCGGCTTACATGAATCAAAATAGTTTGCGCATCTTAGATCACCTGTTTAGGCGCCACGGACGCAAAAGGGTGACACGTTAAATTCCAAAGTGTTTTGGTGAATTGCCACGCCCTAGTGGTGGTAGGCGGGTGATTGATGATGCAAATGGAGCCCTGAGTGTCCTCAAACGATGCAATTTGTTTGACCCACCTAGCTTATATACTCCGGCCGCTAGAGGTCGCAGAAAGGTGGAAAACACCTGTGTGCAGGCAAAATGACCATGGTGCATTCTTAGGATCTCACGCTCCTGGTGGTGTAGGCGTGGTTGATGATGATAATGGAAGCCCAGAGTGTCCTCTAGGTGATCCACTTGGTTTCATCCCCCTCTCATATACCCCTTAACTGGAAACACAAAAGGTAAAAAAATAGAATTTTGAAATTTTCACTTTTTTGATTGCCACTACCTGTTCAACCTATATCTGAGATTGATGTCTCTAATTAACGTGCACCTGTGCGGCTACATGAATCAATATAGTTTGCGCTATCTTAGATCACCCTGTTTAGGCGCTATTGGACGCAAAAGGGCGACACGTTAAATTCCAAAGTGTTTTGGTGAATTGCCACGCCCTAGTGGTGGTAGGCGGGTGATTGATGATGCAAATGGAAGCCCTGAGTGTCCTCTAAATCGATGCAATTTGTTTGACCGCATAAGCTTATATACTCCGGCGCTAGAGGTCGCAGAAGGTGAAAAACACCGTGTGCAGGGCAAATGACTCATGGTGCATTCTATAGGGATTCCCACGCCCTGGTGGTGGTAGGCGTGGTTGATGATGATAATGGAAGCCCAGAGTGTCCTCTAGGTGATCCACTGGTTTCATCCCCTCTCATTACCCCTTAACTGGAAACACAAAAAGGTAAAATGAAATTTGAAATTTTTCACTTTTTGTTGATTGCCACCACCTGTTCAACTCTATATCTGAGATTGATGTCTCTAATTAACGTGCACCTGTGCGGCTACATGAATCAAATAGTTTGCGCCATCTTAGATCACCCTGTTTAGGGCCAATGGACGCAAAAGGGTACAGTTAAATTCCAAAGTGTTTTTGGTGAATTGCCACGCCCTAGTGGTGGTAGGCGGGATTGATGATGCAAATGGAAGCCCTGAAGTGTCCTCTAAACGATGCATTGTTTCGACCCACCTAGTCTTATATACCTGGCCGCTAGAGGTCGCAGAAAAAAAACATCAACCACCCGCCTACCACCACCAGGAGCGTGGGAATCCTATAGAATGCACCATGAGTCATTTTGCCCTGCACACAGGTGTTTTTCCACCTTTCTGCGACCTCTAGCGGCCGGAGTATATAAGCTAGGTGGGTCAAACAAATTGCATCGTTTAGAGGACACTCAGGGCTTCCATTTGCATCATCAATCACCCGCCTACCACTACTATAACCACGTGTCCGTTAAGGGCGCTTCGTTTACGCCTTACTTCGTAAGGCGCAAACTCCGCNAACCAGATGGTGTGAAGCAATGATTAACACTGGGTAACCAGTATAATTAAAAAATGCAATTATAACAGAGATGGCAATATTACTAAAAATTTGTTTATATGGTATCAGAGAATGTAAATGCATTTCGCATATTGTGTGGTGTATTTTTCTTTTTCGAAGCTATATTTTTCGATGTTCCCTCATCTGGAACTACAAATTAGTACTCAAAAAGATTTCTTTTAACATTTGCTCCTTCTCTATTCATTAACATTCTCTGACAGTACTATAAAATTAAGGAAATGGTTGTACTTACATATATATGGATATTGAAACAAACTTATATAATTTAAAATGTAAATGCAATGTTTCCCCAATACTAACGAATAAGTATCTCAACATTTCTACTTCAACAATAATTTTCAAAATGAAGTATATCTTATATTTAAAGTTAAGGAACACTACAAAATTTTTAATATGTGGTTATTACAGTATTATTTATGGTGTACATATATTACAGTAAAAGTAGTCAAATAACAATGTAACTACAGTTTTATTAAATGTTCACAAACAAAATGTCGCTTATATATACAGCGATTATCATTCCATTTTCCTACTTCACGAAATCCCATTTCAACGCAAAATTCATCACCTCGCCAATTATCGGGCTGGTTTGGCAACCAATTAGTATAATTGAACTGTTCACCAGTGCTGTACCAAATAAATTCATTACGATTTTGATCATATTTACCAGAAGTCCAATAGATGTAATCATTGCCAATATTTGGTTTATCAACGAAGTCTAAATTTAAAAACATAAATATTTTATGGATATGTATAAGAAATATACGCAATATAAACTTGCCAATTTCAGTAAGGAATTGGCTTAGATTTTCTGTACGTTCTTTCTTATTGGGAGTCAAGAGTGTCATATTCATGTCGACGCAGTATTTTAATGCCTTGGCCCACGGTAACTATATATATTTAAATATGTCAAAATAGAACTACATATGTATATATAAACACGTAAGTTTTGATATGGATACGAAGAATACTAAATTTATTTGTTTACCTTTAATTTGTCCACAATTAAAAAACGATATACGCCCAAAACAACGGATGTCTCTGCTACAAATATGAAATAATGTATATTTATGTATGTAAATTAAAATTAAGACAAGCTTGACACGATTTACACCTTTATCATATGCTGCAACAACTGCAAGTAATGGGAAGAAAATATATAATTTTAAAAACATTCTGCTTGGAAATATTTTGGGAAATTTGAATGAGTTAAGCCTCTTAACTCGTAATGAAATGAAACGGGTATTTTATGTGGAGATAACTTTTCAAAAATATATATATATTGTATACTTTTTTTTTATAAACAAATACATTGATAAGAAAGTTTTTGATTTTGATAAGGTTAATGTGCTCCAACGCAGCAACTTATATATTTACTGATAACCAAATACATGTATTGGTTAAGAGAATTAATGAAGCATAAAGAAACAACAATTTTAAATTTTATGTAGAATCGAGGACAGTGATAAGGTGAACTGGAGTTTGTATTTATATTGCAGGTTGTTAAAGTCGATCGCAATCAATTCCAAAATAGTAATTATTTTTGTTGCATCATTGACTTTAACTAAAACTCAAAATATTTATACTATATACTATTATTACTTACTGTAAAACTTGCAACAGAATTGCTCTTATACATCAATGTATGTACATACATATGTGTATACATATTTTCTGCTCATTATCCAAATATTTTCTGCACTCAGAATATATGTATTTAGATGTTAATGAATTTTTTTTTAGTGCATATTTGCGTATTTTATTAAAACTGTTTTATCTATTTAAACACGGTGATACAAGAATTGTAGTATTTGTGTAGAAATATTTACAAATCTTATTCATGGCATTTAAACTGGCTCAACAACTGAATCAGGTAAAGGATAGAATTGTAAATTTTGGTATACATCGTCTACATTGAATCATTCGAATACTTTTTCGTTTTTTCATTGCATATGGTTATGCTTAATAGCATAAAACGCTTTTATATAAATGTTGGTTAATTCCAAATATAAGACTTGACAAACAAAAAATACCTTGCCATGTATGTATATAATTAAAATAACATTTTGTGAATAATATTAAACAGAAAATTCTTAACAAATTCTTTAACAATTTAACTATACTTGTATATAATTGAAGTTCCTTTTTTCCAAATAATATTAAATAAATTTATTAGGTATGATTCGCTATTCTCGACTTTGTTTTATACTATGTATAAAAATATTAAGAAAGCATTAAAAAAAAATTATATATATATGTATATTTTTGGATTAGGAGCGTTTTATTAAAGTTATTAAGCCATTTTGAAACTACCGACGTCGCTCCCCTTTTACAGTTTTACGCTTCTCTTTCTTTTCCTCACGCACTTGCTTCTGACGCTCCCTGTCTTCTTTGTCTTTCTGTTTTTTTGCGGCGCTATCCAAGCGTGCTTGCTCTCTCTTCTCTTTTTGCAATGCCATTACATCCTGAAAATTGGTATTACGTTCGATTCCAGTTAATGAACTGGCTGCAAGAGAAGCAACATTCGATCCTTCGGTATCCTCATCGGAACAATAAGCATCAACGTCTTCAACTTCAGTCTATTACGTAATAAAATATTTATTGAACATCTTAATAGTTACTATAATCATACCTGAGAATATTGTGCTAATATTTGTTCTCGTATTTGACGTTCTTCTTCAGTATACTCTCGTGTCTTTGTGGTTGATGGAAGTTTCTGTGCTTCTAATAATTTGGCCAATTGCTCACTTACATCAATGTGTCCATCCGTTTTCTTTTCTTCTTTAGGATGTGCTGACTCAAATTTTTCGAGAATAAGACTTATCAAGGAATCAATATCGTTTGTCTACATGGTTAAAAAGTATATAGGAAATTCGATATATAAGCTCTTAAATTAAACTAACTTCAAGTTGTTCTTTTCCGACATACAATGATTTCACTGAGTATATCATTGAGCGCTTCACGCTTCTCATCAAGTGTCTCTTCCCCGTCAAGAATTCCTGCTATGTAGGAACCAAAGACATCAGGATCCGTATTGAGCTCGGTCAGCTTGTTTTGTAGCCACGAGGTGAACTCATTGGTTGATTGCTTACTTTTCTGCATGCTTTAATTTGTTTAGTGGTAACAATTATAGAATATTCAAAATTTAACGAATATTAATTATTAATTAAAAATAATAATTATAACCATTTTTGATATCTCTTGGTAACTTTTTTTTTAATTTTTTTTTTATATATAAGGTTTTTTATCAAAGGTTAGCAAGTTGTTAAAATGCTAAAGCAGAAATAGTAAAGGTAATATAAAGACAAAAATGACACATAAGGAAGTGTTGCCATACAGAAATATTTGAGTGATCTTCAAAGTATAGGAAGATAACGAATATATTGTTCACCAAAAACTTGATTTAATCTTGTTTCAATAACTACAAAGACTTGAATTAATCTTCTTTCAAATTTTTTGTGCTAAATGGCTTAAAAATAGTAACATTAATGTTAACATCTATTTGTAATTCCTTTAAATGAGAGTTTGTTTTAGTTTAAATATGTGGCATCCCTAAATGTACTGTCATATGTAGCAATTCCTTTTTTTTCTATCAAACGTCTCATTATCAGTAATGACAATTGGTCTATGAAAACAAAACGGAGGTATTAATTTTACAAAGAAAGATGAAAAGTGCAAGGTTAAATGTGGGTTTGTGCTGGATAACTACAGATATGGGAAAACTGTATTAACTAATTAATGGAAGGACTACTTAAAAATGAAATATGTGCCGTGAGTAACAAATCAGAAACGTTTTGACAATGCTATAATATTATATGTATTTACATATATATGTGTGTATGCATTGTATGATTCTTTTGGCGAGTAAAGCTGTTTTATAAATTAACATTTCAACTACGTGAAATTGTGACTTCTTTGTTTAAGCAATATACTTGTTCCTGCATGTACTACTTGGCTCACGAAATGTAGAAATGTAATGAAAAGTTAACTGTGCGTTGAAATAATTGTCGTGGCTTTGGCTAAAGTCTCGTACCAACAGCATTCCCAAAGTTGCTTGGGAATGTCATGTGTATACACTGATGTCGATACCTGAGATCGATGTTGTCCATCTCTAGTTTCTTCATAACAGCCTTTCAATATGATTTTAAATATGCAATACCTGGCAGAGCGGAATGGTATTTTAATTGGGTATAAAACTATTCTGTTTAGATTAGATACTGGCATTGTACGGCTAAATGAAACATTTAAGTATCCTTTAGATTATGCCTATCTCCCTTCTATTCCTAAGATAAAAACACTAGGACAGTTAGTATTCTCTGAATTCTAAATAACTATTTTCGAATTGGATATTTTAATGGTAAAATTTGTAAAGCAAAAATATTTGTTAATATATAATGGTTATAATTATAGGCCTATGACTGTAGTTCTTTCTTACTTGTTTAATGTTTTTGCAGAACCGAAATAATTCATGCTCTTTATATTTGCAAGAGTGTTAATAGTTCGGTTCCTTACTTGTTATTTGCTTTGTTAGTCCAGATTCATCTAAGACTGCCCTCGTATGTCATTTCATCATTTATTCGGCTTTTAGAAGTTGATTACAAAGAGTTAAATAAAAGAGAAAAACTAAAATGTATTTAATTTATAGCCGTGCAGTTATGCATGCATAGGTATGTATATATACTTTTGCAAATGCATATATCAGTATAGTATGTATAAGAAAGATGTATTTGAGTGTTGCCTTCTTGCTTCAAGTTTTAGAGCTTTACTTAAACTCTTTTTTTGTTGAGTGGCGAATGCCGGTTATTCGTTGGCAGCAGACTATGGATAATTGTGATGCGTCAGTCACGTTCGAATGTATTTCATTATATATGTACATACATATACGAGTATATGTGTGCGTATAAATATCTGAAATAAAGTGACTTTCTCTTTGGCAAAATTTACTCTTTCATGTTCCAAGGTTTCACATTATTCTCCACTTTTATACTCACCCACTTTTGATAGCTGTTTTTGTACAGTGTGTACCATACAGAATAAGAGCTCCACTGAAATATGTTCGGCATCCATCTTTAGTTCGAGTTTGTATTTCGTTTGATACGTTTGGAGCTATATGATTGAGCAGCGCATCTACGCGACAATTTTAAAGCTTATCCAACACAACAAATTTTCTTAATGAGTAGAGTGAAATAAAAAAAAAGAAATCAGATCTCTCTTATATTCAATATAAATATATTATTTCGAATTAGAAAGAAATGTTACGATATCGGTGAAGTGTGTTAATATATGATGATGGTTTATTTGTTAATAAATTGATATTAACAAACGTGGGTTAAAAAATATAAAAGAGAATAATGTTGAAACAGTTGGCTTAAAAAAAGTTGTAGATAAAATCTATCAGTGCCACGAAGAAGAAAAATACGAGCTCAAAAAAGGAAATGAAAAAGATAAGAAAGTTAAATCGACCGAATACTCAGAATGTGAATGTGATGTGGTAATAAAAAATAAAAATTATGAAATATAATTTATCTAAGTATATAATTTAACGAAATAAAAAAAGTAAATAAAAAATTTGGGAAGTCGTATCAATATTAAATAAATGTGATGTGGAATTTGAAAATTATAATTGTGGAATTTTCTACCGTCATTTGGATTGCGGTGAAGAAATTTTTTGAAGAATTCGTGCATTTATAAATTTGAATTATTGTTAAATAATAAGTATTTTTTAACACCTAGTTCAAGTAAGCTTTATTTGCTTTCTTCCCTTTCCAAATATTAAATATACTAATATGTATTCATCCACTCGTAACGTTTAACTCTCGCACTCTCCTTACTAAATATGAGTTCTCTTTTACGTACGATTTACGGTAGACGTAGTTTGGTCACCCGTCATTCTTTTACGGATACGCATATTTAATGTACATTTCCAACTCAAAGTATGTAGGTGTGTATCATTCACAAATTATATATGTATTTGCATATATGAATAATACTTACGAGTGCTGTTGAATTTTTACCCAAACATGAGTATAAGCATAATCTATAGAAATCCGAAGGAACGTCTTGAAATGCGGAACGTGATATAAAATAAATGTTTTATATACATACTTGCTTCAATCAAGTAAATATCCGTAGTCTAGTTATCAGTTTTGCATTTCAAATATACATAGTTTTTAACTTTATTGTTTGAATGTTATTTCTTTCATTAATTTCGCTTTCATTTTTGACTAAAGTCATTCGTTGATATATTAGTACATATGGTTTTTGTCAGCTGTGTTTAATAAGCACGCCACAAGTATAAGTGGGTTGCTTAAAAATATTTTTTTTATTATGCACTACAAAAACAATATTCATTTTAATGAACGCCATCAGTATTTTGCTGAATATCTCACACATGCTCGTACATGTATTAACTAGCTTCGTGCTGTAAATTTTGTTCACAATTTACCTTTTCACCTTTTGGTTTCTAACTCATTTTCTCTTTATATTGTTTATATGGTTAAGTGTTTGTGTATACATATTCTCCTTTTTATTTTTTATTTTCATGGCTATTGCTTACGTATTAAATACGAAATACATACATATGAATATGTCGGTTTTGTTCGTTCGTATGGTTTCCGAATTTTTGCTGCCTTGTCTACTATATGTACTCAAATAATTTTAATCATTGCCAGTTGAGTGCTGGTTTAGTAGTATTACAGTTTTCAGTTTAGACCATTTCCGCTTGTTCGTAGTTGAGTACGAATGTGTGTATGCATATATACCATATACATATACATATGTGCATAAATAATTTTTTTTTTTTTTTAAACAAGCCTTCTAATAAAAACTATATATGTGTGTACATTTATACATACGTACATATGTATATATGTAGGTGTTTTTATGACGTAGCTAGTAGGTATTTTGCGACAACTTTCAACGTTTCTTAAAATAAACTCTTTAACACATCGCAGAGCTTTTCATTTTCTAAAATTTACACTTTTAAGTCAAAAGTGAACAATTGTTCAATACATATGCATATATACAAAGCTAGTACCGTTACTATATATCATGAAAATGTTTAATATCTAGCAAAAAATAAATAGTCGTCAAAGCGGAACATAATTCTGAAATTGAGAAAATGTAGTTTTCCAATAAAATTCTAATGTAGCTCGCTAATGAGTTTCTAATTTGAATTTGTAAATGCTAAAAAGTGCAAGTAAAAATTGGAGCAGTATTGTTATATATTTACATGTTTAATTTTGAAAATTGTTTAAAAATTACACTAATAATAAATAATCAAACAATCAAAAGAAAATGTTTATATTATGTTTTTAATTTTTATAGCTAAAAAATATTGCAAAGAAACATTAACTTAACAACAAAGACATTAACGTACACAAAAAGTATGGGTACAAAAGAATAAAATAAATAAAAACAAATTAAGTTAGAAAAGTAATTTCACATAAAATTAAAGGAAAAATTATTATAAGTAGCAAAATTAACGTTTAATGTAAAAATAATGATCCATAATCGAAAAGAAAAGCAAGTATGAACATACATATGCTAAATTATATACGTAATGTTAGGCCTAATATTTATGTGTAAAAAATAACAAAACGCATATGTACATATATGTTATAGTGATTTTCAAGTGTCTAAAAGGAATCGGTTTCATATTTCTGATATACTAGGTTATGAAGCTTAAATATATATCAAAATATAAACGTAATGTGCGTTATGGAAAACAATACATCAAACTACTTAATAATATTGTATAACGTAGCCCAAATTATTTGAAATATTTATACAAATTTAATTAAATGTGCCCTCATCTTCTTGTGTTAACAAAAATGTATTAAAACAAATGACTTATACCCAACATGTGTTAAAAATATACCACTAAAATGAAAAAATATATTTTTTAAATCGTATAAGCTCATATATACAAACATACGTAATATATTCTTTAATATTGAATTTTTACTAAATAATTTCGGAATGTATTCACTGAGCCTTTGGTGTTGAAAAATAATAAAAGTTACGGCGGCATTCGTGTATCATACTAAGGTAAGGGTTGAATCAAATATTTCAGATGATAACTAATTAACTAATTATACATATTAAAAAAGGATAATTTAATGTAAATTTATAATTAATTTAAAAAAATAGATATATAAAGTATGCCTATAGCATTGTTCTATGTAATAAATATATGTATAATCAAATACAGTAATGGTACAGAGAGTATAATAGTTTTGTTCACATAACGGTTGTTTGTATTATCGAAACTAATCAACCATGACACCAATTAAGATATATATAGAGTTATATATATACATATATATGTATATAAATGATCAGAATGATAAGACGAGATGAAATCCGGATGATTGTCTGTCCATCTCCCCGTGCAAGAGATAACTTGTGTAAAAACTGAGATTTCTTGATTAAACATGGTACACGTTTCCTTGGCATCCAAGGAAGGTTGGTATTGCATATGGGCACATTCGGAGTAATGCCACGTCCACAAAATGCCGTTAATCGAAAATTTATTAAGTAGGCTTAAAGTATATATCTCAAAAACTGCTAAAGTCAAATTGTCCCAAACTTCTTGTTCTTAGTTCAAATGTAAAACGTGAGTAGATACCCTATATCAACTAGCATTATGCCATTCAGGACCAAGAATTATATACATCAGTACCTTTCTTCAGCAATAATATGATAAATGTAGAGCTTGGTGTTACATTGATTTTAATATAAATATTTCGGACTAAGGGAAATGTGCGGCTTTGAATTTTGATAATTGTGAGAGTATAAAATGTTCGTTTACATGCGAACTTAGCCTGCCTGACTTCTTTTAATAAGATATGTTATGTTAATAATATACAGTCCTTAACTGTTTTTATACTCTCGCAACCTGTTGCTACAGAGTATAATAGTTTTGTTCACCTAACGGTTGTTTGTATCACCTAAAACTAATCGAGTTAGATATAGGGTTATATATATATATAATATAAATGATCAGGATGAAGAGACGAGTTGAAATCCGGGTGACTGTCTGTCCGTCCGTCCGTGCAAGCTCTAACTTGAGTAAAAATTGAGATATCTTTATGAAACTTGGTGGACATGTTTCCTGGTACCGTGAGACGGTTGGTATTGTAGATGGGCGTAATCGGACCACTGCCACGCCCACAAAACGCCATTAATCAAAAACAAATAAATTGCCATAACTAAGCTCCGCAATAAGATACAAGACTGTTATTTGGTACACAGGATCACATTAGCGAGGGCATCTGCAGTTAAAATTCTTTTAAAAGTGGGCGTGGTCCCGCCCCTAATAGGTTTAATGTGCATACTCCTAAATGCTAACGCTAATGCTATAATAACAAAATTCACTGGAAGCAAATGTTTTTAGAACCTCTACCTACAGTGTGAAAATAGTTAAAATCGGGTGGCAACTCCGCCCACTTCCCATATAACGGTACTAACGGTTTAAAACTACTAAAAGCGCAATTAATCAAGCACTAAACACGCTAGAGACATTAAATTTTACCTCTGGGATGGTATGAGATGACTTTATAGGAACCGCGTTCAAATTAGTCAGTGGGCGTGGCACCAAATTTGGTACATAACATTATTTTTATATTTCTATGTTATGGTGCGAAAATGGGCGAAATCGGATTACAACCACGCCTATTTTCTATATGACATCATTTTAAATTCCACTTGATTATTTCACTTTGCACTATGCAAATCAAGCAACAATCATTATATCGGGGTAAAACTTTGCGTGAATAATACGTTTAAAGTATGCCACCTTGTGACCAAAAATTGTCTAAATCGAACCAAAACTGTTCAAGCCCTAAGTACTAAATATGTGGACCCCAATGCCTATAGTTGACCTTTTACCGAAAATATCAGTCAATCTACAAAGAAATCTCAAACGAGTATACTATTTGACTTTGCGAGAGTATAAAATGTTCGGTTACATCCGAACTTAGCCTTTCCTTACTTGTTTATTTACGTTTTTTATACATATGTACATATACATACATATGTATGTATTTTCAGCAGTCTACTTCCTTGGAAACCCTTGGTAATATTGTACATACATGGTGAGCAACAAGACAAGCTGTGTAAAGTATGTAATTGATGGGGAATGGTGAAAAATAATACCCTAAAGGTTGTAATCTAAAAACTGAACTTCTGTTGATTAGTACGGGAAAGTGAAGGAACCATAGTTAACTTCACACCATTTTGTTCTGGTTAATTCTAAATTAAAACATATCGATTGTATTGTTTTTGATTTTCTAATATATTACGTATTTATATGATATATTATTTGCTTCTAACCTGTTGAATGCCTAATGTGTACATATGGTATGTATGTACAAGGTGTGTTCAAAGCAAAGGGGTCATTCGGTGAGTCCACTCTGTCTCAAAAAGTGTTTAAAAGTGGTACAAGCGCTTAACAGAAGGCCGAAAAGATGTTGATGACGGTGAGCATCCTGAGGTGCTACCACGTCAACAAGCGAAAAAACATTGAAAAGTGACAAAAATTGTACTTGAAAATCGTCCAATTACTATTAGGGAAGTTACAGAAGATGTTTGCATATCAATCGGCTCTTGCCATTAAATTTTCTCGAATATTTTGGGCATGAAACGTGTGGCAGCTTTGTTTGATTCGAAATTGCTAAATGTTGAGCAAAATCAATGTCGCATTAGTATCGATTTTTGGCCAAAAACAAAACCGTAATCATGCCTCAACCACCGTATTCACCAAATTTGGCTCCCTGCGCTTTTTCCTACTCCCAAAACTGAAGAAAGCAATGAAAGGAAAGCGTTTTGCCCCAATTGATGACTTGATCTCATCAGAATCGAAAAAGAGCTGATGGCCATACCGAAAAGCTCATTTCAGAAGTGCTTCGAGGATTGGAACAAGCGTTGTCACAAGTGTATTATATCCGAGGGGATTGCTTTGAGGGGACGAAATAGATATTGATGAATAAATAAGCACTTTTCAAAAAAAT